GGGGGCACGGGGCGCGCTGGGCCCTGCCGCTCCGCCCGCCGCTCTGCCTCGCCTGCGCTGTGGAGACGCTGGGCGACGGCAGAGCCTCGGTGGGCAGCGCCTCTGCCCCTCCGCGCCTTTCCCGCCTCCGCCGGCCGGCCGCGGGGCCTTGGTCCCCTCACGGCTTGCACCGCGGCCCCCCCTCAGCCGCTGCCGCCCTCTCTGGCCTCTTCCCTCCGCCGATATTTGGGGCCTGGCCGGGTGTATCGTGGCACCTTGACCCAATGTGTCACCACCTCGGCACCGTTTCTTTCCCCCCGGGGTGGTGGGAGCGAGCGAGGTGGCTCGGGCCCAAATGCTAACGGGTTATTGTCTCTAATCCCTAGCTGGTGCGCAAGAAGCACGTCCTCTCCCGTCTCCACGATGCCCTGGCCTGGCAGGCACTGCCGGTCGTCCAGCTGCTGGCACCGGACGAGAGGGTCTGCCTTCATTTGATAGGAACTCTCTTTGGTAAGAGCCCTCCTGTGGCCTAGCACAGCGGCAGGGAGCAGGCAGGAACTCCTTGTTTTCTTGGATAGGTGTATGTATAATACGCCTATTACGTGAAGCTTCTCACATTTGAAACAAAAAATAATAAAGAAAAAGGGCAAAAGAATATTGAAGTACCTAATTCCATACTTACCCCGTTCTGTCTTAGGTGGGTTATTGTTCCCTGTGGAAAACTGCCTTGTTGTTTGATTTAGAATAGGTTAATTAATTTTCTTATTCCCCAAAGAGCAGAATTGGCATGTTCATAAAGCTCTTGCAATTTTCCAAAGTGTCTTGAGACTATCTCTAAAGTTTTTCTGCAGAACGAGGAGCGCCTGGCGTACGACTCTTCCCTCAACACCCTACATTCTGGTCTTATGCCTCAGTGCTTTCTCATATTGCTGAACTGTGGCATTATGTGAAGTTTCATACAGAAATGAAAGTGGGAGCTTAAAAAGGTGTTGCAGGATTTAATATTAAGTGTGCAAAATACAAAACTACATAGTGGGGTTTTTTTCACACCGTCACTTTACTTTTGTATAAATTCTTGTAGCCATAGGACTGTGACACCTCCTCCTTTCTGGTGGGTCAGCCTCACAGCAGAATTGTGTTCAGTGGGATGTCAGAAAGTGCCTTTCCTGTAACAGCCTCTCTGATCTTGAATATCTCTTAGGGGTTTCTGTTTGCAAAGCAGTGCTGTGGGAAAGATCTTTGAAATGTCTAAAATCTTGACAGAGAAGAAATAACGGTCTGAATGAGGGAACAGTAAGGCAGGAAGAGAAAGGTGGAGGTTATGAATGCGAGTGCCTTCAAAGAGCAGATATACTGGATTCCTTTAATTCCATTATCTCATTTGCACATCACAGATAATTCTTGTTCTTTGGGGGAAAATGACTTACATGCCCCTTCCCCTGCCTTGACACACTGAATAATTCAAACAGTGTTTTTCCCAGTTGATTTGCAACTGTGTTGTGCATATTCTGGAAGCAGCTTTGTTAGAAATGGAACTTCGTGCGTGTTTAGTTCTCTCCATTGCACAAATTTTTATTGAGCTCTGTCTGCATGCGTAATCCCATAGGGATGTGGAGGGAGTGGTGCTTATGGTCAGTTCAGTCTGTACATTTATATGCTGTATGACCCTAATATGGAATACCCCAGGAGACAGGGGAGCTGTGCTTGCATTTCAATGCTCTTGTTTGGTTTTAAATAATATTTTTCTCTCTCTTTAAGAAGCCTTACAATTTGATGGTTTGGGGACAGCTTTGGGATTTTACTCAGTGTTAACTCCTAGACCAGTTGGAATCCCAGTCTAAGCTTGGAGCTACAAAAAATGACATGTACATTTTGGATAAAGCTTGAATGAACCAAGGATTGTTCAGTGCAAGAGTGTAAGAGGGACCCGCAAAGGTTTAAGCAATACTGTGGAGGAAGTATTAATAGTAAATTCAGGAAAGTACATTCATTTTTGGAGAGAGAATATTGGGATAAGCACAGGCAGAAGAAAGAGGGTTAAGAGAAAGGAAGTATAGTGTGGAGTGTTGTATATGAGGAGATGGTGAGTTTCAGGTAAGCCTGAATTTCATGTAGCTAATACTGTAACGTTCACTAATGCTGTATGCAAATCTTTGCCAAAGTGTGAGGAAGTTACTGAGGAATGGGCAGATGAGGCAGGAAATAAGTATTTTCTTCACCTGTAATGTCATAACATGGCTTCCATTGGTCAAATTTCTGAGAGGTCATGGAGGGGAGGTAATTTGATTGCATATGTTGAAACAAGTGGTTTGATGTGGCAGAAGTGGAGGTCTGAACAAGATCCCTGGTGGTTTAGGTACCTGAGGTTGGAAGGAGCTAGGAAGTAGAGTTTCTCATCTGTTGTGGTGTAGTAGAGTCAGACAATGGCTTATTGTAATATATCCAATCTTACGCTCTTGTTGCACAAATGACTCGTGAAGTGGTGCCTTCAGATTGAATTTAACATTGGAATAGTTCCCATATGCTTTAAACCTGGTGTTCAGACTTGGTCTTGGGACTTTCAGTACTTTGGAGGGAGAAGACTGTTCATGGCAATTGGTATAAATGGAAAATAGAAAGGACAACTCACAGCTGGGCTCTAACTTCTGTCATTCTGGAGCGTTTCAGATATATGATATTGGATACATGCAGTGAGATACGGTGATGGGAGCAGTTACACATTTACTTACATAGGTGGAGCCATTGACTTCTACTATGAAATACATTAAAAAATTTGCAAGAGAACTGAATGCCTTCATGTCCCTGTGTCCTGCTTGTGAAGATGCCTTTTGCGATACTCCTTGAGAGTATCCACCTTTCTCCAACAAAGTTAAGCTGGTGTCATGTGAAGCGGGGAAAACAAATTGGTTCTGAAAAAAATTTGCAGCTCTTTACAAGAAGGCATTGCAGTACTGATGATCGCAAGCAGGAATGAGTTCCATGACTGATCGTACTTTTTCTTTTAGGGATGTTGCATACTGTGGAAGACAGCAGTGCCCTGGACCTGTTTGTAGAAGGTGAGAGGCAGATGCCATGTTTCAGTTACTGACAGGTTGTGAAGGGAGGCTCTGGCTTGTCTGATAACTATAGTGAGATGCTCATCTTCTGCACAGCTTGGGAACTGGGAAGAGCATCTATTTTCTGTCAATGCAACAGTGACAAGCAGGCTGTTCTAATATTTGAGGGCAGGAGAGTACAAGCAGATTTAAATATTTAGTATTTCTCTCACAGGTTCTGTGTGTGCCATGTATTTAGTGTTAGATAGGTAACAGTTGTAAATGATAGCTCATCTTTGGCATCTTTGAGCCCGACCAAAGTCTCAAAGCAAATGGAAATCTTCCTATAGGCTTCTGTGAGCTTTGGGATCTGCTGCTTTCTCCTTAGGACAGAGTATTTGGGATTTACCTGTATAGGCTGCTGATTCCTCTTTGTGAGCAGTCCTTCATTTGAAATCTGAAGGAAACGCCTGAAGGGCTAATAAAGGAATCTGCAGTCCATTTAACCTTGGGTATCTCTGCTGAGTCTAGTGATATTAGCAATGCAATGATTTCCTCCTGTCCAGCCATGAAAGATGAAAGGAGGTGTGACCAGCTCCTTCCAGAGGGGTTTCAGTTTTCAGGCACTCGCTTGAAATGGTCTTGAAAAGGTGAGAAGTCTTTATGTCATGTTACCAGTCTGTTGAGAAATGGATGCTCTCAAATAGAAGAATCTGAACTCAGTGTTATCTAACTTCTTAAAGCGTTTAGAGATTCCCGAGAGTTCTAGGCAAGGAAGGGATGTTAAACCATCTATAAATCACCTGTCTCAAGATACGCCTCTGCTGAGATGTGTAGCTCTTCAGCTAAAGTAGGTCTCCTAGAAAAACTTCCAGTATTGCCCTGGATATATCAAAAGATGGTGAACCTAGAAATCTGGTCGGTTTTTTTTTTATGATGCTTTCCTAGAATACAAATCAAAAGAGTGTGTTTTTCAAATGAGTCATGCCATGCCAGCAGGATACATCCAAGACAGCCTTACCAAATCCCGCGGAACAATGTTCTGCACAGTGTCTCGGTAAGGGGGCTATTGTCAAAACTTTATCTGCTGAACATTCAGGTGCCCAGGTTCTAAAAATAACAAAAGAGGAACTTTGCTTCATGAAACTGGTGCACTGGTATATGTGTGGAGGCAGAGGCAGCCTGCCAACATTAGGCAACTCCCTTGTGATTTTTGTTAGGGAAACCCCAGGTGATGTGCAGCCACTGCCTGGTAAACATAGCTTCTTGTTGATTCCTCTTATTAGGACAGAGGTGACAGTGTTCTTAAAGTTGCAGTGACCCAAGAATAACAGCCCTTACTTGGGGCTGAGGAGGTGAACAGTACCAGAAAGGTGACCGGGGCCTTGCTTTCTGGCAAGGTATATGGGATAATTGCAGTGGGGAGGAATGGCTGATAGACTGTTACCTCGGGGACAATAGTAGCTCTCAGACTGCATCCAAGGATGCTCAGCAGTTGCAGTTCTGATGTCTTCTCTGGAAAGATGATTTTAAGGGCTGATTTTCATACTATAGGAAGCCTGCTGTATTCCATTACCAGAAATTTTTATACTTTCAAATTAGATCTTTTGTTTCCTTTCCTTTCTGTTTCTTCTATATGTTTACTTGGTGTCCTGATGCTTAGTTTGTCTTTTGCTGTTCATTTCCACGCATGGTTCATAGTGCAGCTAGAGCAGGAGTGCTGTAATGTTGCTGCAGAGAGCTCAGGCTGGGCTATCAGAAGTTACAGTTCTGGGAATGCCGATGTTACCCTGCTCTCTCAGCACCTCTGTGCTCATTTAATTCCTAAGCTCTTTGCTTACTGGTCTGCTAAAGCGCTGTGGAAGATGGATTGTGAGTGCTCCTGGGTGTGAATTACTGATCCTGTTTCTTCTGCATAGTTCTGGTGCGGCTTGTAGTGGAGCTGAAGTCAGAACAGTACTTACGCTGCATTTTGGAGGAAAGCCAAAAAGAGGTCAGTGAAGATGAATTCCCTGCCCTTCCTTTCAATCCTTCAGAGGCTGAGGAGACGGGAATGAGTGACCCTGCAAGATTGCAGCTACTGCGGTGGGATGCAGCCTCTGCTGCAGTGGGATATCCTAGTGCCAGCTCCTCTGCTGTGATTTTGGCAGTGTTGGTGTCTACTCTGCAGTTTTCCTATTGTTCCCGTCATGCCTTGTAGCCATATGGCTTCATGATGCTCTTGTGAAGCTCTGTGACTTCCTCAGATTCTTCTTTTCCTCCTTTACCATTTCAGTGGTATGAGGAGCTTTCCCAACCTGTGCCCTGGGCTCTTGCTGTCTTCATTCCTAAGTTTGCGATGGTCTTATGGGGAAGAAAAAATTGGGAAGTAGTGAAAGCTGGAAGAAGTCCAGCTGGTTCATCCACTCATGTAAGAGCTGGAGGGGAGAGAGAGGAAAAGAAGCAATAACCAAGAGATTTCTTGGATTAGTTAAAAGACATTCTGATGACTTGGTGTGTTCAGGGTTTTCCTGTGGTTTACCCTAAGTGGTGAAGAGGACCCAGCTTAGGAAGAGATTGTGTTCTGGAGCATTATGCATCACAGAGAGCTTGCTGGTTTGTGTGCATGTCTGCCTTTGGACTGTGTCCTCACTAGTGAAACATTTTCTTTCTCCTTCTCCTCTACAGCTGTGCAAAGCAACTTCCATGAGAGGCAGCCTGCCCACTTTCACTCTCCTGGGCAAGCTGACAGACGCCATCCCAGGCTTTGCTGATATACTGGTGGTAGAGCACAGTGAGTAATGTGTCATGCCCCACCAAAGGGTGGTATTCACAGCCCTAAAACACGTATGCATGCATGCAGTCCCTGTCCCCCATGTGAATTTATGAAGGTTACACAAGAAGCCAGTCCAGAATTCAGAGTGACATTCAAGTCTCCTGGGCTACAGGTCAGTACCTGAATAGCAGGTTTGTCCTTGTGCATTTAGCCAGCCTGGCAAAACCAGCCTCTGTGAACTGGGGTTTGTGGGTTTGCTTCACAGGCAACATACATTCAGTTTTAATTTCTTTGGTCCAGCCCTTGGGGGTCTGGTGAGCAAGTTCAGCTGTTTGTGGAAGTAGCTGGGATGATGGATCTTCATAAGGTGAACAGCAAGCTCCTCTGCTCAGAGGGACAGGTGGTGGTGAGCACATCACCTAATTGTGGCATTCGTTAATCTGCATACACCAGTCTGTCCAGTGAACTTTTGCAAGTTTTCAAGGGAAATAGGTTGGTGCTTTTAAAAAGTCAGTTCGTTGGTGTGAATGTTTGCTGTTTCCGTTCCTCACACTAGGTAATTTAGTGGATCATCTGCTGATGGGCTTGATGTACCCAAATGAAGGTATAAAGGCTGCCGTCTGCTACTTGTATGGCAAGCTCTACTCCTCTTCTGTTGGCGCAGAACGGCTCTCAGCACACTTTGAAGAAAGGCTGTGTGGTCTCTTCTTGAATACCTTGGGGCGTGCGCAGACAAAGGAGCTGCAGGTTAATTGTTTGGGTAAGGCATTGCTGAGAGAAACTGCAAGGTGCAAGGAAAGGCTTGGGATGCGGAAAAAATCCTTGGCTGGTTTAGACATTCGAATGTGGGTTGTTCCCTATAGCAGCTTTTTGGTGCTTGTCTGAAGCAGTCAATCCTTTCTGTTACTCCATAGCAACCAAATGGCCCAGACCTGCTGCGGAGCTCCCCCAACCCTCCGTTGTCCCTCGAGCCCCACGTTTGCCTAGCACTGTCTAATCTTAACAGAGTCCCTTCAGAGCTTGCACTGTGGCCTGGCCTGTCTCAATTTGATGTTTCATTCTGGGAACAAATCATCTCTCAAAGTGTCCAAATGCAAACTCTATGCACAGACAGGTGGGTTTTATATAGAGCAGTGGGATGAAGTCTAACAATTATGGTCTTCAGATGTATGGCATCATAGCATTTAGGTTAGCAAGCTAATTTGGAAGTGGCACTTTGTTGCGTTTATGCTTCCAGCTGCACATATCAATGGTTGCTGGGGAGCACAATTTCAGCCTTTCTGACATTGCTTGTTTGTAAACCATCCAGGGAATTCTTTTTTCTTGTAGGAGTACGCAGGGACTGGATTGCTCCTCAGATCACCTATGTAGTACTATAAATGGATGATCGCTCCTTTGAAAGTAGAATTCTATAGCTCAGATGATACCCCTTGTGAATTTGTACTGACATGTACTGATGATTTGCATCAGTACCTGTAGTAGTGCTCTGTATTTTTATACTGAGGGCTTCTGTGTGTGTGTGGATATCACTTACTGTTTCAGGAAGAGCCTCTGAAAGTAAAAGGGGAAGATAAATGCTAGTTCTCTAGGAAGTATTCCAGGGAAAATGTCTAGTTTTTGTGGGGTCACTGGCTGTAGCTTGGAGAAAAATGCAGCTCAAGAGCTCTCCCAAGAAACAGTTTAAGGGGTGGGTGCTGGAGCACAGAAGACAATGGGAGTAATGTGCTGCTGACATCATACACCATGTACATGACCATCTCTGAAGGAACAGGGAGAAGATCAGACCCAGCAAAAAGCATTAGCACCAAGGTGTTGCAAGACATGGGGCTCATGGCAGTATCTAGGGACACAGTGAGAAGAAGCTTCCTAAACTGGAGGTGAGGGCCTTTGTTAAGAGTGCAGGAAAGGGGAGGAAATTGGCAGTAAGTCTTAGGCTGTAAATACTCCTGTGTTAAAATCCTTGCTATACCCAAGGTAGTGCTCACTCTTGCTCCCCCTTTTGCAGGTTTGCTAAAGGAGCTGCTGAGATCTGACCATTTTGTATCCATTCTTATGAATAATTCAAAGACAGAGGAGGAGCCTGAGACCCCTGAAATTTTAGAAGAGGAAAATCCACTGCCACTTGTTCTCAAAAAGGTGATTGCTGAAGTAGTGGTGAATTATCAGTAGATGTAAAGAATTTGCTGGCCTATATTGGATCTTTATCTGAGGCACTTGAGTATACTGTTGCCAACACCAGCAGTAGAGGCTGCAGTAGGAAATGGGGACACCCCATAGATCACCTCATTGTTCATTCCTGCATCCTGGAGGGGGGAAATTTTACTCCTGGCCTCAGCTGGTTTTACTCACTCACACTTGAGGTCTGATACAGCACATGTAGTGCCAGCGTGACTAAGCATTGGGGCAGAGCTACTCATACTCACAGCCTCCTCTGTTGTGGTTCTTATTTCCCATTCTTTTGAGTGTATGTGGTCCAGTGTTTTATCTTGCCTTAGCAAGTTTAATCCATGAAATATACATCAAAAGAGAGATCTTCATTTATGTTTTACGTTTTAAGATGTAGAGGAAACTGCTTCCTACTTGTATCTGCATAATGCTCTCATTTTGACTTTTGTTTCCCAACAGCTTTTGTTGACCAGAGATGAGATGTTACAGGCAGCAAGTTCTCACTGTGTGGCTGCAGTGCTCGTTCATTCTCCCAGCAGATATGCTCCTGCTTTTATCCATGCAGATGTTCCAGGTGAAGAAATGCAACAACATCTTACTGTTCGTCTCCCAATATCAAAGCACTCCCTGGCTGTTTTGTTTTAGGAATCAGTATGGTTCCATGAAATCCACTAATGGCATAATGTGTGCAATGACCGTTTTGTACCAGTAAAAGCAGCTAAAGTGATTTTAGGATTAGAAGGGGAGAGTAAGTTTTCAGCTGAAAGTATAGAAATGGCTGTCAACAGGGAGAATGGAGTTTCCACAGAAAGAATTTGGACAAGTCCTTGAGGTCAGGTTCTTCTTGCAGGACCTTAGATACAAGCCTGAAGAGACTGGTGTTCCATCTCACTCCACTAAATACTGTAAGTTTGCACAGAATTTGGCTTAGGATTTAGCTTTAGGATGCGGCTAGGGGGAGATGGTTTATTATTTCTCTGTAATCCCAAAAGACAGAAATGCTTTCATTTTACTAATTCTTTGGGAGATACAAAAGTTCTGAGGGAAAAAAAGATCACTGCATCTGTGGTAAAGCTTGCTTTGTGGCTCTTCATTTGTGCCAAAGGCTAGAGCCACAATTCAGCTCCTGCCTGCTGTGTTTGTGCTGGGAAGATGCCTGCCTACAGGACTCTGCTCTCCAGTCACCTTGTTTTGAAGACTAGTGTACCCTCAAGCATCCACTCCATTCTCCATTCCTGCCATTTCATAATACAACCGTTCTCCCTGTGGCTGTTGCTATGCATCCTTGTTTCCTCCTCCTTCTTCTGCTCTGTTCTAGGAGCAGCCGTGCCATGCTGTGAGCAGACAGGGTGACCTTATTTGCGTGTGTTTGTTTGCAGAATTCCTGTTTGAGTGTCTCTCATGCAACAGTGAAATTCTCATCTGGTCAGTGTATTGCTGCCTGCTCCTCCTCACTGAAGAGCGCCTTTTCTTCTCAAAGTGTCACACAGTCTATGGTGAGTCATCAACCTTTCTGACAGAGTGACTGCAGTAATACTGTGGGCATTTGTTGTGCCTCTAGCTGAATTTCAACGCTTTACACACAATCACAATTTCCAGTCAGGATGGATAAAGGACAGAAAATGAGTACCTATGAGACATGTTTGTGATATCCAACATAGCTTGAATTTACAGTGTCTCTGTCCTGATGAGTTCCTGAGGAGCATGCATTTGTTATAATAGCCAGTTATCATGATTGACATTACCTAAGTTATTATTAGGTATTTCTGTGGACGTGCTAAGAGTGGATCTAGGAAGAAAGGCTAAATTCCTTCCATTCTTCTGGACTTGCCTCCAGCAGTGGCGGTTGGGGCTTATTATCAAGGAGATGAGTGAACACAGCAGTTTTGGGCAGTTGTTTCTGTCAGTGGCTCAGAAGAATAATTGTTCAAATCTTCCTTCCTTTAAAAAATTAATTTTGCTTCCATCCTGGAAGTTGGAGTGTTAAAATCTCTTTCTGTGACTTCTCTTAAACGTGCAGGCATTGAATCTCTGGTGAGGAGTCTCCAGGATGTCCTGCAGCTGAACAATGTGGAGTTGCACAAACAAGGGCTCCTGCTCTTCACTGAAATACTGAAACGGTAAGGGAGTACCTGCAGCAGGCTTGCACAGGGAGAGTTTGGTGGCCCAAAATGGAGGCTGTGGTGCTTTTGCTTTTTAAGGTTTTTTTGTCTGAGACCAAATGTCTACACCCACAGAGCCTTTGCGTTTGAAAGATGTTGCTGAACAAATGCATCTCCCTTATTCTTGTGAAGAAGGGCCTTATGGTTGTTTCCATACCTCCCAGCTTGTCCTCTTTGTGCCTGCATCCACCAATATATCTGCCTCTTCCTGCTTCCTTGCCGATCTGGGAGGTGAAATCTCCTTTCAGCTGTTGATAGAGCAGGAGAGAAGGGTAGGAAGGTCCAGGAGTATGTGAGCAGGCCAGTTCCTGCTAAGTGTGCCTTTGTGACAAAACAGAGCATGCAAATTCCATGGCTTCTAGTCTTGTATCATCATCTGAGCTAAATTCAAACAGCAAAAACAAATTCTAGGCTGAAATATTAATGTCTTCTGTCACTTTTCCCCTCTTGTTTTCTGCTAAGGAATAACATACCCTGGCTTGTTTTTCTTCTGCGCTTCCTGTTCTTGCCTCTATGATCTTGTTCCCGTCCTGTCATGCTAGTGACAGAGTCTTGGTTTTGCCACTTAGTTCCCCCAAGAGAGCCCTTGAGCTGAATTTTGGAAATGTCATAGTCAATTTTGTAGCAAATGGCAGGGTAAAAAGGAGAAGGAAAAGCAGCAGCGCTAGAACAGTGTGATGATGCCAGTGTAGGATCTGTCAAAAAGAGAAACCAGGATGTGGGAAACACTAATTACAGCATTTATGCTTGTAAAACAAAGAGAACACTCTGTGCAATTACTCTCATTTTCTAGCACACACATTCTGTTTCTCTGAGCTTTGCCTCAGAACTGATGTTTTATTTAAAACTATCTCATAGTGGGGAAAGGGGTCTCATCCTGGAACCTCCCCTCTTGGTTTTTCCTTGCAGCTGGATTCTCTTGTATAAGTAAGCCCCACACTCTGGTGGTGCCAGGCAGGATGTACTGCTCCCCTTGTACTGCTTCCTACGTCAGGAATGGTGGGTAGCTCCCCTTGCAGTGCCCCTTGTCTCTCCCAGCACAACCTGTGGCAGCCACAATTTGGGGCCCAAAGATGAGAGGCTGCAGGAAGCTGCAAGAGTGCTGTCCTTCACACTTTTCTCCCAGGCCCCAAGACATTATAGTGCACCGTATTGCCAGTGGGTTTGTGCCTCTTGAATGAGTCAGCAGCACTCCTCCATCCCTTCCTCCTTGCATGAGTCAGTGAAGACTTTTTTTTTTCCTGATGTGTTTTACTTCAGAAGGTCAGCGATTAAAGAAAAGAAATACAGAGGATTAATAGAATTACGGTATAAGTAGAAACAACTTGGAATTTCAGCACACGACTTATGGCTTGGGCCAGAGGCTGCTCCTTGTGCCCAAGTTCCACAAGGCTTTTCCCTGTCTTGCCCACTTCACAGCTTTTTCATAGAGCCGAATGTGAGGTGACTGCCAAGCTGGGCTTCATCCCACTGAGTGACTAAAAAGAGTCATTCTGCCTCTGTTCACTTTTTTCCCTGTACCTGGGCTACTAGTATAATTTCTACTGAAGTTCATGTTCCTCTCCCGTGTGTGCATGGGAGCACGTGATCCTGGCTTACTTTAGTCAGACACATCTGTGAAAACTAAATAACAGGGAGTACTTGTGGCTCCCAAGTCCAGCTCCTGTCATGCTGTGCTGCTTTTCTTGCTTCACTTTGGAGAGGCTCTCTGGCAGGCTGTTAGTGCCTCTTGTCCACATGTAGCTGCCCGTCTTCCCCCTGCCTTCCTGGCTGTACCTGCCTTGCCAGGAGCCAAATAAGCACAGTCTGCCATTTACACAACTCTGTCCAATAATGGGATTAATGGCTTGTCATCCCTCCATGCTCTCGTTCTGAGTGCTCAAAGGTGTTGGGCCACAAGGTGATCAGACGACCAAAATGCTCACTAGCAAGAATTGTCAAAACAGTTGGATTGTGTTTATTTTCCTGATTACATTTCAAGTTCATTAAAGTCTCTGGCCTTCTGGCAGTGTCTGGCATTAGAAGTGCTATAGGACTGTGAGAGAAGCTATTCTCATGGCCTTGTCCTTGTTCTAGGATGGTCAGGTTTGCTTGTTTACTCAGAAATATGAATTGCCAGATAAAGCTGCAAACGCCAGAGCAGATGGCCTCAGCATAGAGTCCTAAGCAGAGAGATCACTGTGTTTTGCAAAGCCTGTTTTTCTTGTGCTTTTCATGTCAGTGTTTACTGGTGCAGTCACACAGTTATCCAAGCTGTGGGGTTTTTTCATCATAGTAGGGCTCCAGACCTGCTGGAGTACACTCTTTGTAGCAAGGCCTCCACCTGCTGAAGTTAGAGACCACATCCTTGAGAGCAGCTGGCTCTGAGTACTGAAAAGCATGGCTGGAGCCACATGGCTTAGCTGTCCATTTGGTGAAATGAGGAGAGGGCACTACAGTTACTTAACTCTGACAATATTCTCCCTGTTTATTTTGTTTCCTTTTTGCAGGCAACCAGTGGAAATCAAATTATTCACAAACCGAGGTGTATGCATGGAAGCCATTCATGTTTTGATGGAGACAGTGAACTGCCCAGTACTGGAGGTGGTGATGGAGGCTGTGAGAGCTGTGGCAGCTTTCCTGAGGTAGGCAGGAAAGACTTTGCAGGCTTTCCTTCAGATAGATCTGTTGATACCGTGTTGGTCTGTGCAGCTCCCCTGTGGCTGTGTGGGTGAGCTTGCTCTGCAGTGGGACTTCTGGTTGAGACAGGCGTGGGTACAGCAGAGCTAGCTTCCCACCCACCTCAAAAGGCTGCCAGGGCAATGAAGCTGTGGTAGGCTGCAAGTCTCTGCAGCAAGGACCTAGCGTCCCAGGCAGGCTCATACCACAGCTGCTGTGGCTTTGTCACTCTGTGCCCCGTCCGGATAGATAAGAGCAAGCATAAGACTCTGTACAGTCATATGCTTCCTGACTTCTCTCTGCTTGTTCAGGAAGGACCATCTGAGCTCACCTCCAGTTCCATATGAAGAGCTGCAGAAGCTGCTGGAGGCAGTGCTGAAGCGCTGTGCTGACCTTTCCCCACCACAGAGTAGCAAGAGGCATGCAGTAAGTCAAAATGCTTGTTGGTAGGACGAAGCAGAACAGTGATGATCCTCCTAGTGCATTGTGTAGGTGTTGTGTATATGTTCCTTACCCTATGGCTGTTGGGTTCTCTGGTGTTTCTTTTGATCCTCATGCCTCAAGATGGTACAGTCTTTGCCTTTGCAGTAGCTGAAGATGGATGCTGGTGAACGTTGTCTTTCTAAATCAATGAAGATTTGTGGGGCATCACTTGAGCACACTTCTCTCTTTATGTGTCCAGTGCTCTGAAGTCATTTGAATTTCTGCTTCTCCAGGCCCCCACCTCGTAGGCTGTGTTGGTCAATCTTTTTTTTTTTTTTTTTTGGAAAAAAAA